TTGTAGTTTAAACCAGTGAACTATATTGTAGTTTAAACTATTAAAATGTTTAAACTAGTGAACTATATTGTAGTTTAAACTAGTGAACTGTATTGTAGTTTAAACTATTAAAATGTTTATACTAGTGAACTATATTGTAGTTTAAACCAGTGAACTATATTGTAGTTTAAACTATTGAACTATAATGTAGTTTAAACTATTGAACTATATTGTAGTTTAAACTATTAAAATGTTTAAACTAGTGAACAAGATTGTAGTTTAAACTAGTGAACTATATTGTAGTTTAAACTATTAAAATGTTTAAACTAGTGAACAATATTGTAGTTTAAACTATTGAACTATATTGTAGTTTAAACTATTAAAATGTTTAAACCAGTGAACTATATTGTAGTTTAAACCAGTGAACTATATTGTAGTTTAAACTAGTGAACTATATTGTAGTTTAAACTAGTGAACAATATTGTAGTTTAAACTAGTGAACTATATTGTAGTTTAAACTATTAAAATGTTTAAACTAGTGAACTATATTGTAGTTTAAACTATTGAACTATATTTTAGTTTAAACTATTGAACTATAATGTAGTTTAAACTATTGAACTATATTGTAGTTTATTAGCTGGTCGCTGAATTCTGAATTAGATTATTGACCAGCACTGTCACTCCACCCCTCGGACGTCAACACGGCCCCGCCACTGTCTGCAGTTTTCCTTATCCGATAAGGTGAATATAAGGTCGGACCTATTCAACTCAGTTTCAATCCTGATTTTAAAGGCCGCAGTAACGGAAATAGATGAAGGTGTGGATTACAAGACAAAATACACTTTAAAGATAAATCATTGGAAAAATTAAAATTCATGGCTTCAGGGAAAGTTTTAAAGTGGTGGTTGGTGTCCGTTTAATTCAATTGGAACGACCTTCGGCCCTACCCCCCCCCCCTCCCCCTTTATTACATCCTACCTAGTTCAGGCTACTTCCCAACATCTGGTCACTGAAAAATCATTTGTATTCAAACCTTTGGACAGTCCTGTGAGCTGGGTGACTATAGATTTTATAGGAAAACCACGTAGAAGTGAATATAATTAATCTTCTTATTATGATTATAAGCTGTCTAAATATGGTGCAGTGACTCAAATACTGTTTAGAATGGTTCAAGGTGTTCACAGGTCGATACATAAACTTAATAAAAGTTAGATAAACGTGTTTTAATTATAGTCTATGGTCTTTAACTGACTTTTGAAAAGAGGCTAAGCCTATGTACTACTCTGGAAGTCGCCAATGACCATTGACCAGTGCACGAGGAACCTTGGTATTTATGCGCTTAAGAAATCCGGAAGTAATGTAATGTAATACAAATGTAATTGTAATTTAGTCAAATTTTTGTTCTAATTCCGACCTACGTATTGATGGATGTTCCGAAAAACAACAGCAAAGCCGCAGGACAGATCCTGACTTGTTTTTGTTATTAGAACTTAAAATTGTGCTTTTATATACTTTTTTTTAATTAAGACTATATTAATATTTATAAATGGTGGTTCGATCTCGGCTTTCTCAAAGATCGACTACTAACATTTGGATTTGTTTTTGTAATTCGCAATTACTATGTTTTATTAGGACCAAAAAGTTTTGAAAATATTGTATTTTTGACCGACTTTGACGCTTTCTTGAAACAAGTGCCCTGACCTTTATTCGCTTGTGAACCGTTAAAACTCTGGTGTAAGATAACTATCGCGGATATACTAGATTATAAATGTGCTGAAAGTAGTGCCCCATTCTTTGAGACCTCCAGGGCAAACTTTGCATCGTGTGATTGGATTTTGTTTTTTGTAATTTTAACTAATCCGACAGCAAAACGAAGCCCTAAATCTAAAATAACTTTTCATATGAGGAAGTATTATCAATTATTAATCAGGAATACTAACAATGAAAAGTGATATCATTGTAACTTTTTGGCATTTTGTTCCGTAATTCACAACGACCTACAGTTTCAAATATTTAAAAAATATATGCTATTATAGTAACGTTATAGATGTTAATTTAGATGTATAAGTAGTGCTTCAGTCTGTGTTTAATAAGAAATATTCTAACAGTGGTGGTTTTATTCTGGTAATTTTGATAAACGATTGGTTTATAGAACACTCGGAAAAGTGCTTATATCTTTAGGCCTTTTCAAACAGTTTGAAATAATTTGGATGGACTTGGAAGTAGTGCCGCATTCTTGGAACTTTTAAGACCTAGTGTAATTTTTTAGTTCAATTTATTTTTGTTATTTGGATTGATGGTACAGCTATTAATCTGTTTCCAAAGACAGATTCCTTATAGTTATTATTCCTTATAGCATAATGTTATTAGTAACACCGATTACGGTGGATTAGCAGCGTGTCACCTGTATTTTTCTTGTGTTATTTGACAATCGTGCTGGATTGTTCCCGCAACATTTTATATCAGAACACTCTTACTCGCCTCCCCGTTATAAAAAATGGCTCCCGTTAGAGACGTTATGAGTCGGAGGTATAAACGTTTTTTAGCAATCGTATCATTTCCCGTTCTTGTATACATGGTTTTCTATCAAAACATCCCAGCCGTGCAGGTAAAGAAATTATCATTTATCTGTTAAAAATATAGATCTTATAGGAATTGTAAAGAGGTTTTCTAAAAACATTTATGTGTATCTGGAACACTGATAGCATCAATTTGTACCATTCCAAATTTCAATCAGACAGTGGAATTGTAGGAACCACAGAAGTCTGATTGAAAATTGGAATGGTGCAAATTTAGAAAACCTCTTAATGTTTCGTTTGGTGATTCTCAAGGTCTCTACACTTGTCATTGATGATATGTTTAGATTCTACGTAAAATCATGTTCTGAAGAATTCGGACCCAATTTGGTACAATATTAAATGATAATGATAAAAATTTCGTTGACAAGTTGAGTCAGCCTCAGAAAAAAACGGAACATCACGAATTCCATTCTAATGAGAATAATCCACGAGAACGACAAGGGACAATTAGATATGATTTGCTGTCTTTCCAACTTTGTAACGATCACCTAAGGTTCTGCACAATGTAAATCTATTTCTAACTTTGTTTGATAATACGATTCTGTCTTCTTTGTAAGTCATGAGACACCTATTAGTCAACTAAAACTCCCTTGTCTAAGTCCAGTCTAATTCGAACTAGACCAACCTTTTGATTTAACCCTGCTTTAACCAATAACATTTCTGCCCTTTGCATTTTGTGAGATAGTGAAGGAATTTGATTGGTTAAAGCAGATTAGGTCAAAAGGTTATTTTGACGAATGTTTAAGAGGTCAGTCTTTGGACCCTCACTAAAGTGGCTCAATGAAAAATAAAAGCTATAAAAAATGGAACGAAAGTTTGGCCTAATCTTAATTAGACTGAAATACCCAATCATTGCCTTGTTAGCGATATCAGAAATAGCTGGTAAGAATGCTTATTGTAATCTTCCAATCAATATTGCAAGAAATCAAATTTAAATACATTATCTCCGAAGATGATATAATTAAAATGCAAATATGGATGGTTCGTTTCGTGTTTTATCCGTGGCTTACTACACGTGCTATATTGTTTTGCATCAACTGATCTGTGAAAATTTATATTCAAGCTATTCATAAACTTCTATTCAATAAAATAATTACGGGATATTCATTGTTAAACATTGATCTGTAGTGTCTAACTACTTTTAACAGCGTTTTGAGTGACATATTGAGAGATATACCACTATTTTATACTATTTTGGTCAAAATTTGAAAGAACACTTGTTGGAGGACTGTTTCTTCTGATCATGGTTTGCAATCGGAATAACCTACACACAAAACACGAAACGAAACATGTAGATCTGTATTTCAGTCGAAAAACTTATACATATCAAGAGATTGCCATAATTTGAATATTGTGTTTTTTTGTGTTTGTATTTTTAGTTCATGTCGCAAATTAAAGAAATAGAAATGGTAAACAGAGACGGTGTATTGGTACCTTACTTACTAAACAGTGACTTAATACAGGTAAATCTGGGTCTATATTTTGGGTAGAATAAATAAAACTGACAAGATACCAAAAATAAAGTCACATATTGGTATTTATATTTTGTCCTCGATATAATATACATAAAAAGTTTAGTAAACCTCTTTATAACCACTTTAAGTCGAAGGTTTTCAACCATAGGGACTTCCACATGTAGGGACATTAGCATTTTTCTTTGGGGACATTTGATATAGACTATAGATTCTGATTTGATACAGGCTCTTAAAAAAAAATTGTTATTGTTATTTGAATTTCAGAAATTTATAGATGAAATAGAAAAAGAAAACGTGACGGTGTTTTTGATCGAACCCAGAATTTTGAATGTGATAATTCACCTGACCAACGAAATGACCATTGAAACCAATAATTTACAGATAAACAGTGACATTAACGATACACATTTTGTCTCTTTTGGTGTGACGACGGATATAGACTCAGATTTTCAGGTAAATTGCATACAACTATATGGTATGATTCTTCTGGAATATAGAGTACTATAAAATGATTTTTACTCTACACAACGTTTCAACAATTTACATTGTCATCATTAGTTTATATTGTATAGCCTACTGTTCCTGTGTTTTATAGTACACGTCGCTTCAACAATTTACATTGTCCTTATCTGTTAATAAAGTAACTACTACCAACTTGGTTTAATTGTACACAATGTTTCAACAAATTACCTTGCTATAACTATCGGTATATATGGTATGATTCTCCTGGGTTTTATTGAACTCAACGTTTCGACAATTTACATTGTTGCAATAGGTTTATATGGTATGTTTCTTCTGGGTTTTTGTACACAACGTTTCGACAATTTACATTGTTACAATAGGTTAACATGGTATGTTTCTTCTGAGTTTTAGTGTACACAACGTTTCAACAATTTACATTGTTACAATATGTTTATATGGTATGTTTCTTCTGGGTTTTAGTGTAATCAACGTTTCGACAATTTACATTGTTACAGTAGATTTATATGGTATGTTTCTTCTGGGTTTTAGTGTACACATCGTTTCGACAATTTACATTGTTACAATAGGTTTATATGGTATGTTTCTTCTGGGTTTTTGTACACAACGTTTCGACAATTTACATTGTTACAGTAGATTTATATGGTATGTTTCTTCTGGGTTGAGCTCGCATATTTAACTACGAATCTTCTTTTTACATATTTCAGAAAATTAAATTTTATGGCTTGAAACAAAATGGTTTTGAAAATTTTAAAGTGAAGGGTGTCACGTCTCGACCAGAATTCCACCAAAATAATCTTTCCCATATATTCTTGTATCATCAACTGAGACCACTGTTACTCCACCTGGTGGTATTTTATAACAGGGGAGATAACTTTATTTGGAATGACAGAATTCATCTTGTTAACCCACCAGATTGGTTGAAGACTGATCAGCTCAGTTTTGGACACAATGCTTCAGGATTTAACAAGTAGGTTGCTGATGGGTTGGTAGCAATCTGTTTAAAATTAGATTCCAATTTCGTATCTTTTTTGTTTTCTGAAATTCTAGTCTACATTGAAATCTGAGAGGTTTTCTGCTAAAGGCCTGTCCAATGATATCATTTTTAACCAATCAAAGCAGTATTGAATATCACGTAATGTTTATAAGAACAATCTACTGGACAGAATCCATGTAATGCTGAATTGTTTGCCTTGTAAAATAATAGTACATGTACTTCTTTCTTTAGCTCTGAATGAAAAAAATCAAGATATAGAACCCTTGTCCATCAAGATGGTTGTAGTATGAAATGTTCGGACATATAATGGACGAAGTTTGTCTAAATTTTACGATTTATTATAATTATGTTATCAGTCTTAGCAGTTAATCTTTCACGCTCATGTAATTTCAGTCTAGAGTTAACCCAAACTAGACTCGGCGATTTAACCCTCTTGGCGCCGTCCAATATCAGCCGATTCTTACTCCAAGATATTCCAGAATCAAGATTCATTGAATGCAATGAAACAAGAGTAAAAGAATTCTATAGAGCTAATCCTGGATTTGAAGCTACAGAGACTGGAAGGAATCGAGCTATGAGGGCTTCCAAGTTATTGAAATCATTAAAATCTACCATGGACGAAGTTGGAGTTAAATACTGGCTTTCAAGTGGAACACTATTAGGTCTGTGGTAGCTACCTCACTTGATTGATTGATGTGAAAAGTTCCTTACCTTACGGAAAATGTTTCGTAAAAATATTGTTTCGGGATTCGGGTTTCGTTTTGCTGTTCGAATCGTTTGCAGTTGGTTTCTTTATATTAGCCTAAAGTCATCTTCACAATGTCACGCTATTACGAACTGCGCCTAAACCATGACTGCAATAACCACTTTTCTTGTATCACTTAAGTTTGTAGATGTAGCCATTTGATTGGATTGTACGCCAGCGAATACAGCCAATCAGATCCTTTGAAATGAAATATCTGTGAACAATATGGCTACGCGAGTAAACGAAGGCTGACATTGTGAAGATGGTTAAATGAAAAACTCTCTGCAATCGCATTTCCCTTTTCTATTATTCTGTGTTTTTTGTCGTCTAGGCTGGTTTCGTCAATGTGGATTTATCTCTTATACAAGTGATATGGATTTTGAAGTTTATATCAAAGATTACACTCCAGATATACTGACGACCTTTAAATCTCACGGTTTCCGCCAAAGGCGCCAGCTCGGTAGGGTAAGTATTTCAACCTGTAAACTCACCAGCTGGGTAGGGTAAGTATTTCAACCTGTATACTCGCCAGCTCCATAGGGTAAATATTTCATCCTGCAAGCTCGCCAGCTCGGTAGGATATTCCAGCTTGTAAACTCGCCAGCACATGCAGTAGGGTAAGTATTTCAACCCGTAAACTCGCCAGCTCTATAGGGTAAATATTTCAACCCGTAAACTCGCCAGCTCGGTAGGGTAAGTATTTCAACCTGTAAACTCTCCAGCTCGGTAGGGTAAATATTCCAGCTTGTAAACTCGCCAGCACAGTAGGGTAAGTATTTCAACCCGTAAACTCGCCAGCTCTATAGGGTAAATATTTCAACCCGTGAACTCGCCAACTCGATAGGGTAAATATTTCATCCCGCAAACTCGCCAGCTCGGTAGGGTAAGTTCTCCAACCTGTAAACTCACCAGCTCGGTAGGGTAAGTATTGCAACCGTAAACTGACCAGCTCGGTAGGGTAGGTATTTCAACCCGTAAAATCGCCAGCTCGGTAGGGTAGGTATTTCAACCCGTAAAATCGCCAGCTCGGTAGGGTAGGTATTTCAACCCGTAAACTCGCCAGCTCGGTAGGGTAGGTATTTCAACCCGTAAACTCGCCAGCTCGGTAGGGTAGGTATTTCAACCCGTAAACTGACCAGCTCGGTAGGGTAGGTATTTCAACCTGTAAACTCGTCAGCTCGGTAGGGTAAGTATTTCAACCAGGTTAAAGATCCTTCGAAAGATGGAAATCGAAAAAGAGCAGCTAATTCTGCTGTTCTTGCGAATTTCCCCTCATTGCACATGGCATGGCTTGCCTTCATTAACCCATTAAGTGCCCAAAAGTAGGATACAAAACTCATTGTGTTTATATTGTAGTTAAATGATAGTTTTGAGATGACATTTAATAAACAAGGGCTAACAATGGATGTGTTTTATGTGTATGAAGAACCGGACCATATTTGGGTTGGCGGTGTTGGATTACGAGGCGAAAAATACAGGTAGAATAAAAGAAAATGGGAAATATTACATTGTATTGTCATCTAATAACATGCAATTATCAAAACACAGATTTGAATGTTTCATAGTCTCTGACACCCAGACTATACCAGTCTACGACGAGGATGTACGTAGACGAATGAATGATACAGGCTAGAGGTTCAGTTTTCGGTTTGTTCTGCAGCAAACGATATCCGTGAAAGCAATCGTATCTACGGCGAATGACAATGAAATTATCTCATGTAACTAACATCTATATTGTAACTTCCGCCTAACAAGTAAAGAAGATTTTCTTGCTGCTGCATTGTCAGGCGTAGCGAGAATGGCTACCGTAGATATGATTGCCGTGAAAGTTGTTTCAGTTTCAACCATCTAGTTGAACCACCGATAGATATACTACCGACGAAACACGTAGATTCGTATTTAATTTCTCATTCCAGGTTTACCTTCCCTATTATAACCCTATGTTGGGGTGAGCTATTGGGCGTGGCTGTCCGTGTACCGTGCGACACGCCGAACTATCTTGTCACTGTGTACGGGACCAACTGGACGGCGCCCGTTACTCGATGGCGCTGGTCGGAGAGCCCAAGAAATATCAAAAAAGTAGGACAATGGACACGAGAAGAAATGAAAGAGACTATGAAGTATATGGGATAGCAAAAGAAAATTTTTTTTACGAGCATAACAACTTAATTAGGTTCAGAAGAATCCTCTCCACCAGCTGGTCCATGGACAAAATCTCTTTGTAATGATATTTCCCGGATTATCTGTACCAATGAGATGATTTATTAATGGTCAAGGGAATTACACATGCCGACCAAGAATAGAACTCTCAACCACTATTTGTTCATTAAATGAGACTTGGTCCCTTTTATAAGACTATTCGAACCATTGACGCTAAAAACATTGTAATCGTAGCATTGAAAGTTTTGGAATATTTCTATGATGACTACATGGTATTGGGTGATTTATCGAGTAAAAGGATGAATTTCTAGTGAACTAAAATCGGTCTGTAGAGTTACAGATTTATCTCCCTTGGTATATATTTTGTATTGTCAGTTTTATTGGGTTTTATTACCATATAAATATCTGTTGGTTTCTTTTTATGGAGTTTTCTTCCTATTCATAGACTCATACCACTAAAACATTTAATGCTAATGGTGGTCGTGCTTGGGGTTTTCGCATGCCCATTTTTGACTAATTTTTGGTCTAGATTTCTGATTTGATGCTGCCCTTGCAGACTTCGATCTTGTTCGGAAATGTTTAATCTGTAGAAATTCTTGAGCTAGTCAAAATGAAAGTAGACAACTACATTTTATCAACATCCGCTCGACTGTCACTGTACACAAAACTAATATTTTTAGGATTATCCTTCCGCATGAAAATCATCATCATCTCACAAAACCTGAAAAAAAACGCAATTTTAGACATTAAATTCCAAAAGTAGACCAAACATTAGTAAACTATAGGCATGCAAAAACCCCAAAAGGGAGGGAGAAAGAGAATTTCAAGACATAGCACGGACTAGATTCATATAGTCATTTACCTATACTTAATAGTAGTTATCTACCATCTCTTGATGTAACTTGAAAACTTCGTTACACACAATTCAACTGTAAGTTCCACTCTTTATCCTCTTTGTAGACAAGTGAATTCCCAAAAGATTTTAAAGTTGGGGTCCAAAACCGGGCTAGCCTCTTTTATTCACCCTGCACAGTGGCGGCCCTGATTCTCGAGACTGGGGGTACAACTAGGAAGTGGAATGACTTAATTGTGCATTCTGACGGGTAGTAAGGGGCAAAAACGTAAAAAAAATCATATACTTACAAATATATTGGGGGTGCAATTGTGGGTACAACTCATTTTTCTAAGGAAAAATGAAAAAAACTGTACCTCCATTGGCGCCGCCTTAATAATGATAATAATCAGTTTAATAGGGTAAGAAATAAGGCGAAAGAGCCTTTCTTGCATTTCACCCAGCTTATACACATAGAAACAAAATTAATCAGCAACAAATGACCCTGCACCAAGATGGCGACAATCAAACGAGCTTCTTTAACGTGTAACAGTAGAAATAGAAATATTTCAAGTGCCAAGAATTAATGTTAATGTTGATTCTATGTCTAAATTTAGAATGATGCCAACCCAAATTTACTTTTTCATGTTTCTGGCGAATCTGGTATCAAGGTTTGCAATCGAAATCGTCTGTCTACTATATATTTCTTTGGAAATTAACTCTAACATTCCAAAGCCAATTAAATAAAGCGAAAGAGAAAGAAGACGTCCTATTGTCTTCACCTGATTGGGCTAATGAAGACGGGAAATTTTGTCAGGACAGCGGCATCATAAGAAAAGATCAAGCGCGACAAATATCACAAAAACATGGAGACATTATTTTCGATTCGATATCTGATTGTACAAAACAATTTGCAGTCAAACTTCAGGAGATCAATGTGTTTATTAAAACAAATGGTTTATATCCGCCTTTTTTAACTAATTTAAAAATACGTTTGTTATACGTTATTGCCTCAAAACATGTGTCAAAATGTAAATTTCAAATTTAACCTCGACAATTGTCATCCCCACATTTAGTCAGTCTGTCCCCTATTGATGCCCACAGTCTCGGAAGGCTGACACCGCCATTGCTCTTCAGAAATATGTAAGTCATGTCATTCTAATGGATTAAGCGTCTTATTCTTTTTCACCTGATTTGGGCAACAGAAGATAGACAATCTAGTGTCGTGTACAATGAGGGAAAATTTACCTGGTGAGACTACTCTTTTAGAACTTCCAACTGTCTTTCATATGCACACCTTTAAAGATATGGGACCATGACAAATGATCACATAAAGAGTCTGGGGAACCATTTAAATCTCTGTAAGAAATAGTTTCATAACTAGTATATGAGACAAGGAACATACCTGACTGAAAATAGCGAGGTATCTCGACTGTTTAATTCTAGAGGTAAGTTAAAATGGTGGAGTAGGAAGGTGGGGATCATGAAATTGTTAACGAGTTTTCGCTGATTGGTTGACTTTATCTCGGTAATCATCGACACATTCCGTCATCTTCCGTCAATTATTTAAATCAAGAACTGAATATTTTATTTCACTTCTCTTGGTGTTAGTTGTAATAATCTGATCATTTTTATAAACACGTCCATTCTAGACCATTGGATATATTCTCAACAACATGTCTTCACAGCGACCGGAAATCCCCGAGGGTTATTTAGGGGCCCAGGAAGCCCTAAAGGATGCCGGCATGACGCCATCAAGTCATGAAAAAGACGAATTTGTGATTCTGGAAAACGAAGTGGAGATAAAGTTTAAAGTGGCCGCGCCAGTGAAAGCGACAACCAATTTGATCCAAGTACGAACTGAAAAAGATATCAATGAATATGTTTTTGTCCAATCGGATGAAAATAGCATCAGTTTTTGTGTCAGTGTTCCTGAATCGGGATGGTATAAATTTCAAATCTTCGCCTTGGCGAAATCCAACGAATCCAAATCGTTACCTAATGTATTTAACTATTTAATCCATTGTAAACAAGCGCTAAAATCGGTGTACCCTTGTCCTAAACAGTTTGCTATTTGGAAAGATGGATGTCGATTGTATGAACCAATGGTGCTAAATTCCAACGTTCGACTGAGGAGCGTACCTTTTAAGGTAAGAATATGGAGATTCCATTTTTATTTATCGCTATTGAATCAGGTTTTCTGTCCTGAAAAGTTTTAAATGAAATAGAGTTTACATCCCACTTGTATACACGGGATTGGTCTAATGAAGATTGAACGCCCTGCATTATGCAATGAGGGAAATTGTGCAATGACTTCAATTATTAACTCGCGGAAATCCTAAAGATTAAAATTCGAACGACTTTTTTCCCTTACTAGCCCCTCTGACCCGTTCATTGGCTAAAGAATCCCAGTCGAAAGATAAAAAAGCAATGAAATATGTTAAAACAGAACCGTAGCCAGACTTGATTGTTCGGAGGGACAAGTAATATGTCAGGAGGGGCAATGGTGTATGGTGTTTAGTTGTAGTAATGGAATTGGTCGGTTATCAGAAACACTTAGTTTTAGTGGAATAACAGGAACCACAGACGCTAGATCGAAAATTGGAATGGTGCAAAATGATGCTATCAGTTTCTCCGATACATATAGAAAATTTAGAAAAACCTCTTTACAATCCCTTTAATGTCAGTGATAAAATTACTCACTGTAAAAAAAACATGAAAACATTTTTATCTTAAAAACCTTGGCAGATTGACTTCGCCAGGAATTCTGAAAATTCTTGAAGAAATAAACTAATAAGCTATTTTGATCCTGTCTACCAAGTTGAAATATTTAAAGCAACTTATATACAGGGTTCAATTCCCTGACTGATCTAGACGATTACTTTGAACATTTCAATCAGTAAGCACTTGGGAGGGACCGAAGCATGTCAGAGGGGCTGACAGGTAAAAAACGATCTTGGCACTATGATGTCCCTAGTTCTTATCTTCTAACATTGATTCTAGGACATCCTAGCGCTAAGATCGTTTCGGGAATACGTGGTCATGCAACATTTCCCTCTTTGCACATGTACTACACATTTGGGTGCTGGATTATACAAACATAATCGGAGTCTGTTACAGGCTGAACACGTATAAGGGGCTGTAAAGAGGTTTTTCTGTGTATAGGGTAGATATCGAATACCCATAAAAAGAAAACTAGACAACCTGTTTGCAATACCTTTGATATTGAAAATGAGTGGTTCAACTGATTTCTGACAAATGATGTTGACGTTCTTTGCAGACGATTAAGATTAAAGATTACTTATTTTATATTTCCAGGTTCGAATTCCCAAAGCCAATGCCGTAGCCGTGGTCGTTGACGGGGAGTGGACGCATCTTGACAAGAAGGGTGACGGAGTATTTGAAGGCAAGATGGATTTGGATAAGTACAGAAATAAAGACGTCAAACTCACACTTAATGGTAACTTTGAAGACGACGAAACCAAATTCGCCACACTTTTGGAATATAAGCTTTAAAACTATTTAGTTAGACTATGTTATGCTAGCTTCGTTACGGTAGGGAATAGAGTAGGCAGAAAAAACGTTCTTATTATTGAATTTAAAATACTATTACCAGGGAAGCTTTCTATTTAAAGGCGCCGCGAGTTAACACCTGAATTAATCCATAGATGCTAATTCTTGGAAGCCTTAATATGAATTATTGACTAAAATATCTATCAGGGGCTGGTAAGAGACAGCTAGTTTCGGATTAGAAATGTTTTCGTAATGTTTTCTAAATTTTAAAAGCATAATGGCATGGAATATGAGCACATGGAATATGAGCACATGGAATATGAGCACATGGAATATGAGCACATGGAATATGAGCACATGGAATATGAGCACATGCAGCACGCTAGCCATGACGTTTTGTAATTTAGCCTTAAAAATGATTTAGAAGTGCTGACGTCACAGATAAGACATTGGAACAATTCCACGAACTCTATTACATTTTACAAACATTTAAAAAGATAAAAACACAGCACATTAACGATGGTGATACCGATTGAAATTTAATTCGTAGCCGAAATATTAGAAACAGTTTTTGTTATATTCATTATGTTTTAGTGTTTGTTTAATGTTTATTGTATTTTTGCTTAAATTTGCATTTTAATCAGCTTTTTACAATCATAACTTTTAACAGAGAGCTAGTGATGTTTCCAGGATCCATTCATCTTCACACTGTCAAGCTAAACTGTGTCTTATACCTTGGATTGGCTGTATTCGTTATTGTCCAATCCAAGCGAATCGCTGCATTCACAAACCTCTGTGATACGAGAAAGGTGGATAAGTATTAGCGGAATTAATAGCTTGACATTGTGAAGATGTGATTCATTAATTTTAGAACGAATGGGATTCAGGATTGTCAATAGAAACTCACAGCTCCAGGCATTTTAAAACTCAACGATTAGAAAATTGGTTGCGTAGGGGGCGCAAAGTCGGGACAGCTTTAGTTCTGGGGCACCATCCCCTTAGCAACGCCAAGTTGTTGAATTTTAGATATAAAGGAATGTATTTAATAAAGTTCGACTCTAAGTCTAGCAAATTTTTTGCTATTTTTTGTGGTCATTTCTGTTTGTATTACGGTTGAATTACTTTATGTTCTACATTGTTTCTATTCGGTCTTATTAAAAATTTCTTTTTTTTATTTCTGTGTATTTTTGACGACACTGAAGCATTATGTAGATCTCTGGTTTCCAACTATGTGGTCGCTTGAAACTTTCGTTTTGATTTTTGGACTATGATTCCCCACCCTTATCAGCTCCCACATCCCTAGATCAATCACTTAAACCCCACAACAATGGTTATTGACAAAAGGTCGTGGCTGTTACACGTTCATATTGTAAAACATGCTCTAGAGGTCCTGAAATTATTCATTCTTCTCCTACAGTAGTTAGTCACATCCCCGACACCCCAACCCTACATCGCTAGGCGGAGAAAACACCCTAGGTTGGGAACCAGGGTCCTAGTGGACAATGAGTCGATTGTCTGACTGGATAATTTGTAATCATAATCCTTTGCTGAGATAATATACAACACACCTGAAACTCCCATATTATAACCCCCATTTCGAAACCAAGCTTGCTTGATGAGGATTTTATATCTGAAACACGTGTGAACATCAGCTTCTAATGAGGTCTTGTCAATGCATTGAAAACCAGAAAGACTAGAGCAATGTAACCCAAACTTAATTGCTTCACACATACAAACTTCTCCCATAAATATTCATTATGTTTCATGGTTATTTTGAGATAGAAAACAGATTGAATCTAAAACAAGCATATTATCTGTATATTAAATAGAATATACAATATGTTTATCATGTGTTACAACACAGATTTTTATCTCAACAGGTAATTACGTGCGTTAAAGGGATTCAAAATTTGTCCGGGATACGTAGAGCTTCTATATTCATCTGTTCAATTTCCCGTCTGTCGTTCAAGTTAATAAAGAAAACTTTACTTTAAAAATGGGTTCCCTTATTTTCATTCATGAAAATGGAAATGCTAATACTTGACTTGGACAAATACCAGTTTGTCTCACATGTCTATGATTAATTAATGACCGATCAAGAGAGTTCACAAAGTCTTATTTGTTTATCCAGACTAAACATACACGGACATTTATGATTGGTAAAAACTCTTAATTAGATCAAACTAGCCAGGTCTTGGTCGTTGTACAGGGGATATTCTGGGTACAGTAAAGTCTGTATTAGGTTTTAACATAGTGTTTTAATAAGGTGATTCAGATCTTTCATCTTTATCCAACTTGCTCGCATGATGGAGCAGAAAATTATATACAGGAATGGGAACGAAGTAGGTCTTCCCAGTAGAGGATTAGCAATTAGGTTTCGGACGTGCCTTTAAGACTATTTCAAATCCATCATCCACCATTTTTTCCCAAACATCCCCCCCCCCCCCCACCTCCTGTGGCTATTACATTAGATGGTACACTATCTTTAAAACCAATTAAACTCCAAGCTATAGCCAAATGGTTTCCATTAAAAACTTTAATAAAAGTGTGGAGAAATGTCGATAAGAATAATATGTTAAAATATTGAATTTATCAGATAATAATATTAGGTTTTACCTACAACACATTTATTATAAAGAGAATAACAGCAATAGATTGTGGGGTATCTTTCCTTGGAGGATACTGATTTGCCAAACCTACGTACCAAATAATTATTATTAGCTATATGTGGACTCTCTGTCAGGGATACCGGGTTGACAAACCTAAATACCAAATGTGGAATCTGTTTTCCAAGTGAAGTTGATTTTACAAATTCCAATTATACATGATTAGCTCTGTGAACACTCTGAAAAGGATGCTGATTTTACATCCCTAGATATCAAATAGACATTATTAGCTATGTCGACTCCAAATACGACAAAAACGTTATGAGCTTTGTGAACTCTCTGAAACACACCTAAACACTAAATATACATTATAAGCTATGTGGATTCTCTAAAATTAATGCTGAGTTGACAAAACCAATCATTGTTCTAAATTTGTTAACGTCAAAAGCAAACTAAAGTCGAAAATAAGTTTGAACATAGCAAATTTTAACCTTTCAAAGCTGTTGAAAATCAGGAAACAATGAGTCGAGAAAAAACTTTATTTATTCAATATCATTAGATATAAAAGATATAAGAAAAGTTGGACAGAAGACTGCATTTCATGAGCTCAATAACACGAAATAACGTATAATGATTCTAACTTAGAAGTAAAAATTTATTTCTCTGTAGGAACCATACGTAGTTTAATATGGAAACCAATTAGGTGTAGAAAGAAGGCTATAAACAGCACTTTATTTGTACTGAAGTTTAAAAGGTGAAATACTTGTTAATACGTGGATTATTGAGATGTTTTCACCAGATAGTACCAGCTGTCATCACCTGTTATATCTGATAGAAACAACCATACATACCAGGTAATAGAACATTATACAGACTGAACAAACATCAACAGACCTGAATATAACTTTACATAGAAGACATCCCAGATCAGAGAGGCGTTACACACGTTCATGAGCGGATGCCTTGATATTAAGGCTAGCGCACCCGAGAGCTCCCAGCTGAGCAAAATTTCATTCGTGCCTCTCAGCTAAGCTCGTAGCTCTCGTGTGCGCGGAGTTTTCGTAAGGTTTTTTTCATTCGAGGCATTAAGGAAATTATCTGTCGTGTTTGATAATTTTTTCCTCGAATGAAAATACCTTACCGTGTGCGCACTCGAAGATCTTAGCTTTCAACTTTGAACTGGGGCGCATGCACTAGCACGTGATCAAACAAAAATGGCTGCGCCCATCGGTGAATGCGAGTTTGAATCCATCGGCGTATCCATAGCTTACGACAGCTTGCAAGAACAAAAGAAGAAGTAAAATTTCTTCATATTCTGAATCATTCGAAGGATTGTCGACGTCCGACATTTTGTTTAAGTCACGTGAGAATATCACGTGATCTAGTTATTTTTAGACGTCTATGACTCGACACCCCGTTTACTAAGCTCTAAGCTTAGTGTGTGCGGGGGGAAACAAGACATACATTGCAGGAAACATCTTGTTTTACCGAGTTACTTATATACTTGTTACAGAGGAGTTTCTATGGACTTCCTCGTTCTTTATACAGAAATCGAGTTCTTATTTAGTTTAACCAATGGGATTACAAATACTATAATTCTTAAAATCGAATTCAAATTTAGTTTTGTTATCTAATCAGATCACTATATTTCTTAAAGTTGGATTCTATATTAATTAGTATTGCAAGAATAGGACCCTAGGGTATATTAGTCAATAGATAAAAATATGCCAATTACAAATATCAGATAGTTTCCCCGATAGGGTTCTCGAGTTGACATCCCAGTCGCAGTGTTCTTGAAGGGTGAGCAAACAGAGAATTCCCTGTCTCGTTAGCGACACCAAAAAGACCAGTCTTATTTAAATGAAACTAAACTTTCGTTCCGTTTTAATAAGCTTCTATTTTTGATGAATCAACTTCAGTTAGGGTCTAACGACTGGCCTCTTAAACATTCGTCAAAATAACCTTTTGACCTAATCCTTCTTAAGCAATAAAAGTCCCGCCATTTCTGGCGCTGGCATATTGTGAGATATTTGATTGGTTAATAAAAATGCCATCAGATATTGTTAAAGGGTTATTTTGACGAATGTTCAAGAAGTCAGACTTTTGGACCCTAACTGAAGTGGCTATGTTAAAAATAAAAGCTTATAAAAAAACGGAACGAAATTTGAATTAGACTGCAGGAAGACATGATGTTGCCGAAATTCTGCAGACCACAAGTTGAATTTTATGTAAGGTTTGAAAACTCCTCAAAAGACTGTTAATGATATTAAACATAGGCTAATTACCCTATTAACCAGTCTCATTAGAGATTTAATTACCTCGATCAACCAGCCAACTATTTCCTCTTCACCGATCACAGTCATAGAATCTTCACGTGGTTATATTTTTTATATGTTAATTAGCCAGATAGTCACTTAGTCAATGGTGATAAAACATGGTTGGGATTAATTAGTCTAGTGTTAATTGACGAGTCGTGTTGATGAATACTTTAATCATTTTATCATTTAGGGGGTAAAGATCACATTAAATAACAGAACACAATTATATGGTATACTACTCTCGAGTTTGTACACAATGTTTCAACTATTTACATTGTCATCATCAGTTTATATGGTATACTACTCCTTAGTTTTATTGTAGACAATGTTTCTACAATTTACATTGTCATCATCAGTTTATATGGTATACTACTCCTTAGTTTTATTGTACACAATGTTTCAACAATTTACATTGTCATCATCAGTTTATATAGTATACTACTCCTTAGTTTTATTGTACACAATGTTTGTACAATTTACATTGTCATCATCAGTTTATATGGTATACTACTCCTGAGTTTTATTGTACACAATGTTTCTACAATTTACATTGTCATCATCAGTTTATATAGTATACTACTCCTTAGTTTTATTGTACACAATGTTTGTACAATTTACATTGTCATCATCAGAATATATAGTATACTACTCCTTAGTTTTATTGTACACAATGTTGTACAATACATGTGATCCCCGAC